ATGGGACTTGAGCCCAGGTCTCACTGACTCCAGAGCCAGTTTGATATCTACTATAACATGTTGCTATGGGGTACCCCAAAAGTGCAACATATAGTCCCTCTTCATAAATCATTGGACCTGGAGCCAGGGAACCAAGGTTCAGGTTGTGGCATTTCTATGTGATAGGTATATGATCTTAGGTAATACGCTTTGCTTACCTGGGTCTAAATTTACTAATTTGGCTAACAGGAATAATAATACTTCCTGAACCACCTCAGAGGGCAGAGATAAGGAAAGGTTCTATAAGCCTGTGTTAGTATGACTGCCAGGGTTTACAATGTCATCTGCTCAGAGCTCTCCACCTCACCTATCTCAGCTACAAAGGGAGAATATGCAGGCAAAAAACCCATCCTTGTGTAAGAAACCTTAGAATTGGGATCCATTCTTTGGTTCTCCCTCATTTATTAGGGTGATGGCTTTGACAGGGAAAGCTCTGTTACCTGAGGTAAAGAAACGAAGTTTATTCAAAGGGTAAGGACCTGATGGGCACAATGGGGAATTAATCCACCCTTTCTCCTGACAGGAGCACACTGGACTGAGGTTTCTCTGCTGAACCCACAAGGTTTATTTATATTCCAGGGATTTCTCAGCTCCAGCTTCCTCCTCTCTCCTTTTTCCTCTTCTCCCTCCCTCCCTGCAGAAGGTGGGGGAAATGAGCCACTCACTGCATGATACCCCCTCCCTCCTCTCCATAAAGATCATTTGGAGAGGGAGTCAGCAGCCCCAGGAGACCTCTGGAGCCTTAATTGGGGAGTGGGAGGATGAGGACATCATCACGCTGACGATCTCCAGAGCCCTGGAGAGGTGGGGAGGTGGGAGGGGGAGGGGAACGGGAGCATCCTCCCCATGCCACCTCCTGCTAGGAAGCTTGGCTGCCAGAGGGGAAATTGAACTGGAATGAAGCTGGCAAAGGGCAGGAGAGAGTACTGCCGCAGACCCTGCCTCGAGGATCCCTGCTGTTGAAGTGGGAGGGAGACAGAGGGTATCTTCCCCTTAGAATTGCTACAGAGCAAAGCCTCCTTCCTAGCTGACGCCAACCTCTCCTAGCCCCTTTCCTCCCCCAGAACAGGCTCTGTGTCTGACACAGCCAGTTGCTGTGGAAATGATTAGGATGTGAAACGGAGGGTGACGACTCCAGGCAGGAATTAAGCAGTGGGAGAAGATGCCCTCAGGACTAAGACCCTGTTTTTGAAAAGACATCCTGGAGGAATAAAAGACTGCCTAGGCTAGAAGTTCCTAAAGGAAAGAAGCTGTGGGGTGTGGTCAACAGACCAGTGGACCAATATGGGTCCCAATTCTAGTGATTATCATCACCCCAAAACACACATACACACACACTTACTAGCTGTGAGACCATGGGCAAGTCACTTCCCTTTCCTGGGTCTTAGTTTCTCCATCTGCCAAGTGAAGGGGTTGGATTAGATAATAATAATGATAATAATAATAATAATAATAATAATAGCTCATCTGTATACAGCACTTTAAGGTTTTCAAAGTGCTTTATATACCTTAACTCATTTGATCCTAACAGCTCTGTGAGGTAGGAACTATTATTGTCCCACATATTACAGATGAAGAAACTGAGGCTGGGAGAGGTAGTTTTGTCCAAAATCATAGCTAGTAAAAGAAATGAAGAGGATTTCTAAGGTCCCTCCCAGTTATGACAACCTGTATTCCTTTTTTGGCAAGCAGTATAGCAGTAGTAAAAAGAACACTGGTCTTTAACTTAAGAGACCTGGCTTTGAGTCACTTAGCATGTAACACTGAGCAAGTCACTTACTTAACCTCTTTTTAGTCTCAGTTCCTCTATCTGTCAAATTGGTATAATTGGACTTGAACTCTGCCTCCAATGGCTGTTGTGAGGAAAACACTTTGGAAATCTTAAAACATTGTAGGAATACGAGTGATATTATTTTTATTACTACTACTACTACCACTACTACTACTATTAGACATATGCTAAGGTCTGTCTTCTAGCTCTGACATTTTATGCTCTAAACTTTCTTCTGATATCCTAAAATCTCATCTTCCAGGGCCAACATTCTATGCCTCTATGTCCCAGCTACCAAGGAAATGCATTATACAACCGACCAAAATGTGTATACAAAACCCTGCTTTAGTTCAGACAAATTTTGGAGCAGGATGGTGTTAGGCTCACCCATGTAGCATTGTGCCAATCAATGCCAATGCTTGGAGATGGCCAGGTATATTTCTCATCACAACTCGAGGGTCCCACTTAGCACATGCCAATGCATTCTGGATCCAAGCGTGGGGTTTCAGAATTTCCCAGGGGATATCAGCTGCTTTTACAAGAGATTTATTTCAGCGCCTCACATGGCAAGAGCTGGTAGATGGGCCTGATGGGAGGTAATGGCCTAACTGCTCTCAGGGGAAGGAGAGTCATTGGACGACTGTAACTGGGCTGGTGTCAGAAGTTCCTAATGTGCTGTTTCCCAGGCCAACTAAAATGAAATGAAAACCCCACAGGTCTCCTTCATGTACTGTTTCCTTTGCCATTCATTTTGGTATAAGATTTTTATCTATGATGGTAACAATATTCTTTGTGTCACTTGCAGCAGAAACCACTTAATCAACACCTAAACAAATGGGCCATCCTTCGTTCAGAGCCAGAGCCCACACTTCAAACAGGGGCAAAATTGCCCCTGACTCTATCAACCTTCCCTGGGCTGGGTGCCAGTGAACAGATTTGGCACAGAGCACTTGGGGGAAGCTAAACCCTAGATGAATGGCCCACCTGGGCTCCATTCTCAGGGAGACTTCCTACATGCACCAGCTAAATTTATTGGCCCGTTTTCCTGTGCCAAAGCCACCTGCAAGCAGACCCCCAAGATTTAGTGGGGGCCTCTAGGGAGGCTGGGGGGAAAACAGGGTGCAGGGACTGCGGGCAGCTCACTCAGCAGATACAGGGTAGAGTTTGTGAACTGGAATGCTAGGAGTGACCCCACTTACCTTCCTGTTACTGGAGGTAGCTTAGAGTCAACAACAACAGCAACAACAACCACCACAAATATGTATTTATTAACAGTTTAAGAAGGCATGTCCCCAGCTCATCTCTGCCTACTGAAATCCTATGCGTAGTTTAAAGCCTAGCTTAAATGCTGCCTCCTCCGGGAAGCCTTCCCGGACAGTTCATAAAATAATTAGCCAATTTACAGTCTCAGAACTGGAAGGGAATAATTTTACAGATGAAACCACAGAGGTTACAAGATCACCAGATCACAGAGTTAGAGTCAGAAGAGACCTCAGGGGCCATCTAGTCTAACCCCCTCATTTGAGAAGGCAGAGAACGGAGTCCCGAAGAGGTTAAGTGACTTGTGATGATATTTGTAAAGTGTTTAGCACAGTGCCTGGCACAGAGGAGGTGCTAGAGTAATCTTTATTCCCTTTCCCTTGCCCAAGGTCACACAGAATCCTAGATGGTATGGCTGGGATCTGAAACCGGTCTTCTAAGCACAATTTCAGTGGTTTTTTTCCTCTACACCACACTGCCTATGATCTCTCCTCCACAAGTCTCTCAAACACCTTTGCTTGTACTACTCTGATTGTCAAGTTACCAAGCATTTGTTATGTACCAACTGTATGCCAGTGCTGGAGATACAAAAAAGGGCCAAAAAAACCAGTTCCTGTACAAGTCTTTATTTTTTATAAGTCTTATCATACTAGTCTTATGTCTTATACCCTTCATACCTTATTTTCATATTATAAATATCTCTGTGTGTGGCTTATCTTCCACTGGAAATAATAAGTTCCATGAGGGTGATGATTGTATCTAATTTAATCTGAATGTCTCCCCATACTGCTCTGTTCCCAGAAGGCAATTAATAAATGTTAGTTGAGTTGAATTAAGCACCTACTATATTCAAAGCATTGTGTTGAGGCAATACAATGAATGATTAGTAAGGAAATGAAGTCACAGAGCATTGACTGCTCATTGAAGATAATCCAAATTCCTCAAGACCCTCCTGAAATATAGTCACAGCCTACCTTGCCAGTCTTATCTTCCTCTTCATAGACTTTATGTACCAGCTGAAATAGACCAACTTTCCCTTTCCCTCCCCTGCTCTCCCACCTCCAACATGACCTCGGCTTTCCTTCCTCAGTAGTGCCTTTGTTCACAATATTCAGTCTCTCTACGCCCAGAATGTCTTCTACCCCATCCAAACCTCTTCCCCTTCTCTGCCTATTAACATCCTACTCACCTGTCAAAGCCCAAATCAAAAGGCACCTCTTCCAGGAAACCTTCCATGATTCCCTCAGCTGAAAGCAGTCTTTCTCATTTTATTTAATAGCATGTTTCACTTTTTACATTCAAATTTATGCTCTCTTTATCTGTGCCTGTCTAATTATCCCTACTAAACTTTATAAACTCCATGACAGTCCTGTCTCAGTCTCTTTATATTTCCCTTACTACCCAGCACAGAGCAATAAGTCGGTGCTGAATGTTTGCTGAATGAACGAATCTGCAGTCCTTAGAATCATAGAATCCTAGAACTGGAAGGGCCTTCCAAGGTCACCTCCTCCAATGCCTCCCAAACAGGAGCATTGGTCTAGACCCAAGCTGATGTCTGAGATCTCTGCCAGCAGCTCCAAATTCCACAATGCTAAGTGCTACAAGAGTTTCAGAGGACAGCAAGATCACTTTCAGTCATGGTGCTCAAGAAAGGCTCCAGAGATGGCATTTGGGATGAACGTTTGGTAAGTTTTCAAATGAGCCCTGAGATAAAAGTGTAGCTCTTCCCGGCAGCACCATGGATTCCCACTGGCCTCTGGGAATTGGGACAAGTGCTTAATCGGCATTTCTCTTCAGAGCTCTGCCAGCATTCACAGTTCTCCTATGCAGATGATGCAGCAGCAGCTGTGGAAATACATTGTCTTGGGGGTCCTTGTTCCAGCCCACCCCTCTGCCCCACTCCTGACCCCAAATATCTGTCTTTGTTTACCTTTGGGCTCTAACCCATTGGAGTTAAAGTGCATCCTCTTTTGACATTCTGTGCAGCTCATCAGGAACCGGGTCACAGCCTCCCTTGGGAGAAAAGCGTAGGTTTCTGCAATCTAGGGAAAGAGACAGAAGTCTAATTATCTCCAGGCTCCTGGTGTCTGTCTGCTTGGTAAGGTGATCAAGGAATACCCTGCCTCACTCACAGGTGCTGTGACTCTATTGTCCCATCAGGCAGTGAAAGGAGCACTGGGATAGGAGTCAGGAGACCTAGGTTTGATTGGGGCTCATAGGATTGTAGAGCCAGAAGGGAGCTTAGAGATCGTGTAACTCAACCTCCTCATTTTACAAAGAAACTGAAGCTCTCAAAGGAGAAGGGACTTGCCTGAGGTAGATAATAGCAGAGACAAGGTTTGAACCCAGATCTTTTGACTCAGTGCTCTTTCCAGCTAGGTAGAATCCTGGACCTGGAGACAGCGAGACCTGGTTCAGATCCAGCCTCAGATGCTTACTAGCTGTGTAACCCTGGGGAAGTCTTTTAACCTCTCTGTGCCTCAGTTTCCCCATCTGTAAAATATACCATGGGTTGTTGTAACGATAAAATGAAATATTTGTGAAGTGCTTTGCAAACCTTAAGATTCTATTTAAATGCTATCACCCTCATCATTATTGTTATTGTTATTGTTATTTTTAATATACCATGAGATTTCTCTGGCAATTATTAGCTTTGTCACCTTCACTTAACCCTGATCTGAGCCTCAGTTCATCTGAAAATGGCAATAACAACACTTCCACCAGCCACCTCACAAAATCCAGTGTGGAGAAATTACTCCATGTAAACCTCAAATGTGAGGTTCACATGACACAAACATGAGTAACATTTTACTTCGTTTCTCATGAAAAAAGCAGAGATAAGTAAGAGCAGGGAGCTATCTAGGACCAAGAACCGAAGTCAGGGATTCCTTAATTCCCAGGGACTGAAATCATTCAAGATGTTTTCTGAGGATTAATTCTTTCTGTCAGAGGAGGTATGTAACCGAAAAGCAGGTCTGTTAGATAAGGCTATTTCTTATTCTGGTAATCATTTATAGTTTTTTGTTATGGGTTTTGTTTTAGAGATAGGGCAAGTAAGCTGTAAGGAGAACTGACTCTCAGGATTATACTGTGAGTTAAGCTAGTTCTAGCATCTTCTTTTAATTTCAAAAATAGCCTGCTACTGGCTACTAAAGGCAGCTCATAGGTGCTTAGAGGCAGCCCAGTGGATTTCTCATCACAACCAGTGGGTCCCTCCCATAAATAGAATTCAAGGGTCTAACTGCCAATTTTCTGTTCCCACCTTGGAATGAGCCAAAGACAGGAGAACAGAACCATGGAATATTAGAACCAGCAGGGACCTTAGAACATAGCATGCTGGGCCTGGCATGACCCTCAAAATATCAAATGCTGGAGCTGACAAGGGACCTTGGCACATAGGTGGTCAGAGCTAGTGTGGGCTTTAGAATTTAGAATATGGAATGGTATGACTGGAAGGAGACCTGGGGTCTGTGAACTTGTTGTGATAATTAGATAACTATTTTAATAGAATTACTTTCCTTTGCTATCCTACATATTTTATTTTATTCATTTAAGTCCATCCATGATTATCCTTTACATAGATCAATCTTTACCAAGTTTGTCATTGGGTAGAGAAAGGGAAAAAATGTGGGGAAAGAAGTTAAAGAAAAAAAAGAAAAGAAGTAAATGGTACACAATGAGGAATAGGAGAGTGTCTCTTTTCTCCCCAAATCCCTGCAGATACCATTTCCCCCTATTATTTGCCCAATTTGATCTAACAATCAAGCATTTTCTCTTTTGGATTCGCATAAAAATTAAAGAAAAGTTAAAATAAATGTAATCCTTTTCCTTTCATTGTCTAAGGTGGCTAAAAGGGCCTAAACAGATCTTAGGCTTAAAACAACACTAAGATTTTTGGGGACACCCTGGAATAAACCAAAAATCCTTTCTAAAAGGAACATCACAGTTTAAGAGAAACAGTCATAGAGACCTGGATGCTCTCTCTAGTCTCCTTAACTCAGTGTGATCTTTAATGAGTCACTTCTCCTCCGGGCCCCAGCTTCCACCACTGTAAAATGAGGAATTTGAAGCAGATAATCTCTGAAGGTCCTTTCCAGCTGACATTGTGTGTTCTAAGGTCCCCTTCCAAGTCAGACCATCTATGTTCTATATGCTAAGATCCCTTCTAGCTCTGATAGTCTGTGCTTTAAGGTTTCCATTGAATAGTTTGCTATTCAATGTTCTATATTCTAAGGTGTCTGACAACTCTGATACTCTATGTTCTAAAACTGGGGTCCTTAATCTCTTTTTGGTGTAACATGGACTCCATTGGCAGTATGGTGAAGCCTATAGACTCATTCTTAGAATAATGTTTTTAAATAATTGAAGAAAATTCTCAATTTTACTTAGAGGTTAATTTAAAAAAATGTAATTTTCCCCCCTCCAAGTTCATACACCCCCTGAAATCAATCCATGGACCATGGGTGAGGAGTGGGGGATGAGACTGTGTACCCCAGCTTAAGCACCCTTATTCTAAGATTTCTTCCTGCTCTGACATTCTACATTCCCAGGTTCATTCTCACTCTGATATTCAGACTAGTGAAATTTCTCAAAGCATGGGTGAATGCTCACATTTATCTCCACTAAGTGGCAGCATAACCCCAGTTTATAGGTCTTTTAATCACAGCCAGGGAAAGTTCAAAGGTTTGTCCCAAAGCCTCAAAAAGGAAAATGGGGCTCTCTATAGAGCCTCTCCCTCTGGGGACTCTCCCCTGCAGATGAGACCCATCAGCTCAAACTATCTCTCTCCTCTGTCTCTTAGGTCCATATTGGTTATAACTGAGCAAACTCCGTGCTCGATTTCCTGCACTCAAGGTGTCTATAAGACATTTGTCATCGTCTCGTCATCAGGGACTCCCTGCAGAAGGGCCCATGATGAGACCCTGGGATGATCCCAAAGCTGCCCTTGGCAACCTGCCCACCCTTTTCTCTTTCTTCTGTGATAATGCTACCCCCAGGCCAGGTCTGCTCAGATCATTCAGTTAATTTGGGTGGTACCATTGTTATTTCTCTGCTGATTTGATGCTCTGCAGAGCGGCCAGTCTTGATGAGTTATCTCCCTTCCAAACTGTCTGTCTGATTAGGTCTCTCTAGAGGTCATGGACAAGGGCAAACTCTCCAATGACTCTGATTAGAGCAAGTGGATGGAGAAAGCCAGAGAGTCAGGGATGGGGAAGACACACGGGAATTTTGGAAAACCCCAATGCAGGCTTCCTCCCTTATTAAAACTAAGCAAGAGGAACCAAGACCATGTCTGATGGACACATTTTATCTCTACCCTTGTGTCTGACTGGGAATAAATTCCAGGCCAGTATGCCAGGGGCAGACGGTCGGTTGGGCACAGCCCTGCGGGGTCAGAAGGGAATACACTCGGCTAATGTGATGATCTCAGCTCAGGAGGAGCTCGAAGGGGTGGGGCACCAGGGAAAGCCAGTGTAGTTAGCAGGCCTGGGAAGAGAGACGGATTCAGCCTGTTCCCCTGAGGCAGTGCAACCCACAGATTAGTCCTCAGAAGAGGGGCATTGAAGGAATTAGGGGAGGGGCAAAGCAGCTGTCTGCTTAGGAAATGAATGGAAAGTTTCTAAATCATGGTCACCCTGATGAAGATGTCCTTCTTACTCACAGAGAGGTTGCTTCCCCACCCATGCAAGAAAAAAAAAATCACATATGGCCTCCTTAACCAGGCCGCTTCTATGTAGGGGACATAAGATCTTATAAATGTCTCTAGGACTAACAGCTGGAAAAGACCTCAGAGGTCATCTGGTCCAATCCCTTCACTGAAAAGAGGACTAGAAAGGTGAGGTAACTTGCCCAAGGTCAAACATTTAGTAAATGTAATTTCGACCGAAACTCAGAACCTTTGATTCCAAATTAGTTTGGAACCCACACTACCTGTTACAGCTAGAAAAGACCTTTAAAGGCCATCCAGTATAACCCTCTCATTTTATAGATGAGGAAATCAGATCCCAAAGAAGTCAAATGATCTGTTCAAGACCACAGAGCTAGTAAGTGGTTCAGATGGTATTGCAACCTAGGTCCTCCCTCCGACTTCAAATCTAATGATCTTTCCACTCTACCACCTTTGTTTTGCTGGGGCAGAGGTGGGGGTTGGGGGGGTAGAGTAGGCCAAGGGGAGGTCACCAACATTTTCCAGACGCAGACAAGTCCCCACCAGGGCTAGGAGTGGTGTCAATAGCCTTTCTAGCCCACTGGGAGGACGTGAGCCAGAGGACGAAGCAGTGCCAGCATGCTGCAGGGAGAAGCAGGGCAGGACTTCTGGCTGCCTGCCTCACTGTGGGGACACGAGTCATGTGCAAACAGTCGGCAAGGCCCCCTGAACCACTGGAGGGACACAAGGACAGGGGCCCTAGCCCAGCCCTGCAGAGCAAAGACTGCCCTGTAGGAAACAGAAGAAATTCAGACCCCACCTAAGAATCAGGGAAGTCTCTAAGACTGTGACAAGCAGAAGCCCCCCCCCCAAGCCCCTTCATTTATCTGTTTATCCAGAATCTTTCTCCTAAGAGGGGCAGTAGAAAGTAAGGGAAAGACCACTGGATTTTAGAGTCAGAAGACCTAGATTTGGGCCCTCTCTCAGCTACTTCCTACTTATATGACCTCAGGTAAATCACTCAACCTCTCTGGGAGTCCTTATGTTCCTAAAATATATATGAGGAATGCATATGTATATATATATATGAAACAAAGGGACTGGATCTCTAGGATTTCTCTCCCAGCTCTCAATTCTAGGATCCTATGTATGTTTTCCTGGAAAAATATCATTCTTCATCACATTTCTTTTCTTTTCTTTTCTTTTCTTTTTTTTTTGAGGCAATCAGGATTAAGTGACTTGCCCAGGGTAGTACATGTCTGAGGCCACATTTGAACTCAGGTCCTTCTGCTTCTAGGCTCTATGCCCTAAACCACCTAGATGCCCCACTACATTTCTTTAAGACACTAGAAGTAGGTTTACTATTTCTGTTTTACAGCTAAGACAAATGAGGAA